ATGCTTCAAAGACCTATTTCTTATGGCTGTGGGGGGACTAAAGGAAGAGGAGGCATGCCAACTTATGCAATGAAAAAAATCTATCAAGCATTATGCAAACTCAATTGATAGACTATCATTAACAAAAACTATTTCTAAAGTAATTATCTGAATTATCAGAAGATTCTTCTGAAATTTCATCAGAGATACCCACTCACAGGCCATAAAAGCATGGTGTGCACACAGTTTTATCTAACTCTCCATGAAGTATTTTAGGCTGTTCTATATAGATTCTAGGAACCATCACTTCCAATAATATCAACAAGCTCCACTTTATCTCTGAACACTGTTGATTCAATTAGAAAGAAACCAGCTCAACATATATAATAACACTTTTATAATTAACCCAGATTTCTTGGCAAATGTATTCTCAATACAATCATAAAAGAGGAATAAAATACAATATAGCATGATATAACTGAATTTCTTTAATTTTTGTTATTCATTCTAAACTCACTTGCTTTTACTAAAATGTCAAATAAATCTAAAGTGTTAACAATAAATATTACATCAAGGGTTATTCTTACTGAACTAACAGTGGAAACCTTTGACTTCCAAAAAGGAAGCTCTTGTTTCAGTACAGTAACTTCATACCTTTCAAATAAAAAAAAGAATATAAATACTAAGATTACAAAGACAAAGTAAGTAAATGGAATGAAATGAAATGTAGCATTTGGCCCAGACCCACACGTGGACACCGAGATTTATTTACTTGACAGTGCTATGCATTTAAATCAAGAAGTTACACAACCAAGTGGCTAGCACACTTCACCTAATGCTAAAAACACAACCAGGATGTCAGCTTTATTTGTTTTCATTTATCTAATAAAATGTACCCTAAAATATTTAAAAAATCACACATTCAAAAGTCTTACACATAATCCTATTACGTTTTTTCACATAAAAGCAATTTAAATCCAAGTATTGTTTTTTATTTAACTACTTGTCCTTTTCTAATCATTTTTTTTTTTTTTTTGACAGGCAGAGTGGACAGTGAGAGAGAGAGACAGAGAGAAAGGTCTTCCTTTGCCGTTGGTTCACCCTCCAATGGCCGCCGCGGCCGGTGCGCTGCGGCCGGCGCACCGCGCTGATCCGATGGCAGGAGCCAGGTGCTTCTCCTGGTCTCCCATGCGGGTGCAGGGCCCAAGCACTTGGGCCATCCTCCACTGCACTCCCGGGCCATAGCAGAGAGCTGGCCTGGAAGAGGGGCAACTGGGACAGAATCTGGCGCCCCAACCGGGACTGGGACTAGAACCCGGTGTGCCAGCGCCGCTAGGCGGAGGATTAGCCTAGTGAGCCGCAGCGCCGGCCTCTAATCATTTTCTTACAATAACTGAATATTAAACACAGAAGCCTTGAGATAAGCTTTTTGTTTTCCAGTAGATGGCCTCTACTAATGACCACATTCATCTGACACCAAACATTCTCTACAATCCTATGAAGTAACTATGAATTTTCCCCCTCACATCTTTATCAACAGAATTCAAAATGCATTAAATAATATAAAATAAAAATATTTTATTTGCATTGCAGCTTTGGGGGAGAAGCAGAGAAATCAAATTAATTACAGGAAAATTTGCTAAAATTAATAGGCCCTGTACTGTGTTTTATAATGGTAGTTTACCAAATATAAGACCAAAATGGATTGCTGCTTTGTACTCAATTATATCTGATGAAAATCCAGTATGTACATAGATAATAGAAAATACATGCCAACATATAACATTAAAGCACTTTCAAGAGTAATGGAGGCCGGCGCCGCGGCTCACTAGGCTAATCCTCCGCCTTGCGGCACCGGCACACCAGGTCCTACTCCCAGTCAGGACGCCAGATTCTGTCCCGGTTGCTCCTCTTCCAGGCCAGCTCTCTGCTGTGGCCAGGGAGTGCAGTGGAGGATGGCCCAAGTGCTTGGGCCCTGCACCCCATGGGAGACCAGGATAAGCACCTGGCTCCTGCCATCAGATCAGCGCGGTGCACCGGCCACAGTGCGCCGGCCGCGGTGGCCATTGGAGGGTGAACCAACGGCAAAAGGAAGACCTTTCTCTCTGTCTCTCTCTAACTGTCCACTCTGCCTGTCAAAAAAAAAAAAAAAAAAAAAAAAAAGTAATGGAGTTGAAAGGTCCCACTTTCAGATACATGGGTCAAAGCCTAAGATGTTAAAACTTCTTCAGAGAAAAGTCTTCAGTGAGAGCTGCTCCTAAAACATCAGCATTTGTGATGACTGATTCTCTTACTTCAAAAAGCGAATCACTATGACTTCCCACAGTTTCAGAATAGAGTCAGTGGTTTCGAGACTGATAGAGATAGAAGGAGGTTGCAAGACTCACACATCCTGACTTCAAGACTTCCTAAAAGACAACAGTAATTACACCAGTGCACACTGAAAAGCGGATAGACACTTAAACGGAACGGAGCAGTGCAGAAACACTCACCCAAATATAGAGATTGATTTTTGACAAAGATGCAAAAGCAGCTCAAAAGAGAACAGAACGTCTTTTCAACAAATGGTACTGGAATAACTGGAAATCCATATTGTTTAAAAAATGAACATGAATCCATACCTCAGACCTTCATAAAACTCAAACTTGATCATAGGCTTAGATATAAAACCTAAAACTATAAAGCATCTAGAAGGAAAACAGAGAAAAAATCTCACTGACCATCATTTAGACAAGTTCTAAGATGCAACACTGAAAGCACAATCCATTAAAGAAACAATGGATTATAGGAGATTATCCTCACAACTCTGGTGTACTGAAAGATTACTTAGCACAGAAAAATAAATAACCAAAAGAAGAAAAGACTTATATGTCTGACTTCATCAAAGCTGTAAAAGTTATAAACATCAAAAGAAACTAAAAAGATGAAAACATATGTGAGAGACTGGGAAAAGTATCAGCGATGCATTTATAGATGCTCCTCAACTGATAGTATCGTTATGTCCCAATAAACCTCCCAGAAGTTCAAAATATTGAGTCAGAAATGTACTTAATACACTGAACTAAAAGAAAAAAAAAAGTAGCTTGGTAACACTACAGTTACAATACCAGTTGTTTACCCTCATGATCCCATAGCAGGTGCTACCATTCACCACCACTTCCCAGCATCACGACAGAGAACTGTACTACCCAGGAAGAGATCAAAACTCTAAGTACACTTTCTACTCAATGTATATCCTTACCATTGTAAATTTAAAAACTAACAAGTTGAACCACCTATGTATGATAAAACATAGGTACCCAAGATGTAAAAAGAACTCTTACAAATCAGTAATAAAAATACAAACATCAGGGCTAGCATTATGGCATAGCAAGTAAAGCCGTCACCTGTGATGCCAGCAGTATCACATTTGTGTCCTGGCTGCTCCACTTCTGACCCAGCTCCCTGTTGCCTTTAAGAGCAGCAAAAGATGGCCCAAGTGCTTGAGCCCCTGCCACTCTTGCAGGAGAGCCAGAAGAGGCTCCTGGCTCCTAGCTTCAATCTAGCTCAACCTTGGCCAATTGCAGCCATCTAGGGAGTGAACCAGCAGATGGAAGACTTCTCCCTCTCTCTGTGTCTCTCCTCTCTGTAACTTTCAATAAATAAATCAATCTTTAGTGGCTGGCATTGTGGTGTAATGGGTAAAACTGCCACCTATGATGCTGGCATCCCATATGGGCACCATTTCGAGTCCCAATCCACCTCTTTGCTAATAGCCTGAGAAAGCAGCAGCAGATGACCCAAGTGCTTGGGCCCTTGCACCCACATGGGAAATCCAGAGGAAGCTCTTGGCTCCTGGCTTCAGCCTGGCGTGGCCCCTGTCATTGTAAACCATTTGGAGAGTAAATCAACAGATGGAAGGTGGATCTCTCTCCCTTCCTTCCTTCCTTTTCTTTTCTTTTCTTTTCTTTTATCTATCTATCTCTATCAATCTCTCTGTAACTCTTAATAAATAAATTTTTAAAATCTTATAGAAAAATTATCAAAACCAACTTTAAAAAAACACAAACATCTCAACACTTGAAGACATACTTTATAAAGAAGACATACAAATAGTAAATAAATTTATGAATATTCAACATTATTAAGCATGAAGAAAAATTAAAACCACAATGAAATAATTTTAAAACATCTACAGTGACTTAAATGATTTAAAATATTGGGCCAGTATTGTGGCACAGGGGTTAAACCACTGTTTGCTATGCTGACATCCCATATCAGAGTGCTGGTCCAAGTCCTAACTGCTCCACTTCCAACCTAGCTTCCTGCTCTCTCACCTTGGAAGTCAGTGCAGGATGGCACAGGCACAGATACTTGGTACCTAATGGAGTTCCTTGCTCCTGGCTTTGGCCTGGCCCAGACCTGGTTGTTGCAGCAAACTAGGGTGTCAGTCAGTGAACGGAAGATTCTCTCTTGCTCTCTCTCTCTCTCTCTCTCTGCCTTTCAAATAAATTGTTTTAAAGATTTATTTTATTTATTTGAAAGACAGAGTACAGAGAGAGGTAGAGACAGAGATAGAGAGAGGTCTTCCATCCGCTGGTTCCCTCCCCAGATGGCCACAATGGCCAGAGCTGTGCCTATCCAAAGCCAGGAGCCAGGAGCTTCTTCCAGGCCTCCCACATTGGTGCAGAGGCCCAAGAACTTGGGCCATCTTTTACTGCTTTTCCAGGCCATAGCAGAGAGCTGGATCGGAAGAGGAACAGACAGGACTAGAACTGGTGCCCATATGGGATGCCAGTGCTTCAGGCCAGGGCTTTAGCCCACTGTGCCACAGCGCCAGCCCCTCAAATAAATTTTTAAAACAAACAAAATTAAAAAGACTGACAATACCAAATGCTGAAGAGAATGAAGAACGTATGTCTAAACAAGTTTCATGGGGTTCTCAGGAAGTTCTAAAGGTATTTGCATTGGTATTAAAAGAAAACACTTAAAATGGTTACATTAAGAAAACCGTTTTCACAGCTCTTTGTAGGGCCATGTACCTGTGCCCTCTTCTGCACCTCCAGGAGGAGTTCAGAATACTGCAGCTCTAGTTCCTGCTTCTGTTTGTTCCAGCAGCTCTCTTGAGCTTTGATCTGCTCTGCCACCTTGTGAAAGGTATCTTCCTGGGTCTGCTGAAGCTCTCTCATTGTGTCAGACTTGTTCTTACAGATATACTCTAAATGGCTTATCTATATATGGAGAAATGTAAAAAAAATAATGAGATATGCTAACCATTTCTTAGCACCACAACAAAATTTTTCACTCTATGCCTTCAGATTACACAAAAATTTTTAAGTGCAAATAAAAAACAAGAATTAGCAGCATATATATTTTAGCAGAAAATTATATCACTTGTATACTTAACAAATATTTATTCTTTTTTCTAATAATGTTACTCATTCTATAATCAACTTTACTAAAAAGATTAAGAAAGATATTTTTACTTCTGGAACCAAAGCTCAGGCTATTCAGATCTCTCAAAGGAAAAGAAAGTATTTAAATGAGATTGACAAATCTGCAAACACTTTACCTGTAATAAAGCAGATCATTCCAGTTTTTCAAATGCTGAATAAAATCCTTATCTTCTAAAATGTGTGACACTTAATGCTATTTTTAAATTATTAAAAACATAATATCGTCTCAGAGGGTTAAAAAACTCCTTTTAATTATCAGTAATTTACAAACACATTACACAAAAACTCACAATTAGTAGCAGCATCTGTGCGTCTCACAATTTATCCCCTCATTTCTCAATCCTACTGCTAAGTGCCTACGATTGTGCCTGCCAACACCAAGGTAAAAATGCTCAACAATAAGAAAGCCCACCTTACAATTGGGCCCAAATACTGTTTTAACACTTCAATAGATTTTTTTCTAACTGTTTAACAAAACAGTTTTTCTCACCAATGAAGAGCAAATGTCATTACAACTAAGACATAGAAACTAGATCACATAAACGCAGTTCCAGTTAGTTCAATAGACCCAGTATAAGAATCAGTATCTTTACCAGTGGCATATGTTGCTCTGCTAAGTCATTTTAATTTTCTATAGCCACTAGCAAGTTTTTAAATTTTTTTGAAATATTGAATTCCTAGGTTTGCAAAATGGTAAAGGACCATAAAATTCTACTGCTTTCTCCTAGAAAACATTCTAAATCATGGAATGCATTTTCTAAGATATGTTTTGTTGTATTTCAAGAAACAAATCATAAACATGTAATTTAAAATTCTTTAAGTGCTTTCAAAATAACACCTTATATTTCCTAAGCAAAGAATTTTAAAATCATGTTTTTGAATAACTGTATCCTGTTTCTATTTTATGCTAACATAAAGACTTGGTTTATTAATGTAAATGACTAAGTTCTTTGAATTGCTTCATCAGTAAGATTAATTTATTTTCTTTTAATTAGGTCCCTGTGGCTAATACTGGCTAGTAGTATTAGCATGTCCTGCACAGAAAGTGGAGCTTAGAGACTTCATACAGACTTCAGTCACATTTACATGCCCACAGCAATGGCATCAAACTGAGTTGTAGACAAGCCATAATTAATGGTATTGAATTATTAACACCCAAATTCTTTTTGAAATAAGATGAATGTCAGCCCCTCTTAATGGTACTGTGATGTGGACAAATGTCACTGAATTTAATAGAGGTATCTGGTGCCTGAGGACAGTTACCTTCTCATTAGCCCTGTTGAGGTCTGCGATCAGGGCATCAACATTCTCCTGCAAAACTGCACAAAGCTCAGACCAAGAGAATTTATCCAGCATGCCTTCTGGTTGTTTTATGAGCACACAGCCTGCTACCAAGTGCTGATACAAGGTATGAAGGAAGGTTAGCTTCTCCTGCAAGAAAATAAGAAAAATTAATTCATGCATATAAACACTGTAAGAAATAAAACATGTGAGAGTACTTCAAAAAGTTCATAGAAAATGCAATTAAAAGATGCTTATTTTGCTGCAAAAAAATTTTTAAATCCACGCATTTTTTTTCATAATATGCATTTTCTATGAACTTTGTAAGGAATCCTCTCATAATACAAATGATGAAGAATTTATTTTTAAAAACCTAGAAAAGATTTAAAATACTGAAGTCTCAGAATATTGTCACTTGGAGGGCTGGAGTTTTTTTTTTTTTTAATATTCAAAACTGAACAGCAGATAGAATCCTTGGAATTGTTTACATTTGGCATTCAAAATCAAAATCTGCAGTCTGGGAGCAAGTAGGCCAGGGTTTGGACCCCAATTCTGCTGCTGCAAAGTATGTGATCTGACAGAGCACCCGCTGGGCCTAAGCTCCCTTAGTTGCAACACAAGGTCTGGACCGGTTGTTCCTAAGTCATTCTGATTGGAAGTCAGTATCATAGTTCTATAATTTCACATTTATATTTGCCAAAACAGATGTTATTTAAGTTAAAATCTATATATACACACATATACATATGTATGTGTTTATATATATATACATATACATATAGAGAGAGTGAAAGAGACACAGAGAGAGAGAGAGAGAGGAGAGTGTTGTTCAACTCTGATCAGGAAAAAGTTACACCAATATCTGTACTTTACATGCACACAATTACTCAGCTTTCTTCTCCTCCTCCAGAGATTCCAGTTTACTTACCACTTATAGGAAATCCATTCCAAGCCCCTTAGGCGAAGCAGACAGTGATATGAAAGATATGGAAGATAGGCTCATTTGTTTTCCCCACTTAGAAGCTCATATAGAATTTGGCACCCTGGGCATTTTTAGGTGTTTAAATATTACAAAAGGCCAAAAAATGGACTTAGCTGCCCAAGACATACTTTCAAAATTGTCCAACTATAAATGTTTAAACAAATCTCATTAAAAGTGTATTAATAAATGGATATTGGACAAGGTACACAGGTACCAAACATCACGTAGTACCCCACAAATAAGCATAATTTTATATGTGTGCACTAAAATTTTTCTAATTAAAAATAATTTTAAAAAGTATATTATCACTACAATTAACTAAACAATCCATTGCTGAGTTACCTAGAAACACTACACAATAGAACTCAGGTTAAAGCCAATCCCATCTGGAACACCTATGGAAGACTGACTTACTGTCTTGTCAAATGGCTCTCTTTATAAGGTGTTTCACGTATAACATCCCAAAGCATAGAACCTAGAGATAAGGTAATTATGGAGCTACAAAATGAGCATTATATATGGACAAAATAAGTTTCCTCAATATTTTTTAATACATCAGCAGGAACAGAAAATTTTTAAAAGAAGAAAACTTCAGAGGAAAAACAAAAATTCTAACCTTCTAAAAAAAAAAACCACAGAATTTGCAAAAGTTTGTAATAAGAAACTGTGGGAAGTTTTTCTACATGTATCAAACATATATATCAAAACATCTTTAATTCACCCTCTGTGCCACCAACTCTGTACTTTTTCCCAAAGGCTGTACAACTGAAAACCAAAAGGTTGAAAATGTAGCTACAACCACAAACTAAATTAAGAAATCAGAATATTATTTATAACTATGCTTAACTTACTCTTCTATAAGCAGTGAAAGATGACTTTTACATTTTTAAGTAGGTTGAGATATTTTAAAGTCTTATTAAAAGTACCTAACCAAAAGGTAATATTCAGGCACTAAAATATTCCTCCTGCCCATATTACCAAGTGATCACATTCATCCTCAAGGAAGTTTGCCCTCAAGGATCCTTCACTGTGTTGCCATTATGCCCTTTTTTGCTTGGGCTGTGATAAACCAAGCATGATAATCATCCATTTGGCATGCAAAGAGAATCCCAGGATCCAAAATCAATTCACACACGTTGAACCCAACCACAACGCTGTAGACATGCTGACTTTACAATACAGTCAGGCTTCTAGTTTCCTTTAATCATTATCTGATGTGTAGAACAATTCCAACTCCTTCATGTGGACACAATTTAAATCCCAGACTGTGAGAGGAGCAGAAAGAATGTTTCCTTTTTACTCTCTTGGCATTCGTATTCCTATTTGTTGAAGTAATGAACTCAATATGCAGGAAGACTTAGATAAACCAGTTACACTAGCTAGACTAGCTCCATATCTCATGGGCAAAAGAAAATATAAGCTAACAATTCTGTTCACAGGGGCTCGTAGAGAATATGAAATTTTTGTCATAATATTTTAAAAAGTGATTAATAAATAAAAGTGGATAGGCAACACTCCTAGGGAATTAAAATGAAAAGTTTTAATTTGTGGAGCTTTCATTTTTCTAAAATTTTATGCCTGATAATTATAAAGAGTAAGATTATCTACACAGTAGATACTATTCCTGTTTTACAAATCAGAAAACTAAGGTGTGGAGAGGTGAAGTCATGTGGATTATTTGCAGCCACACTCTTTGTAAATAGAAAAACCAAGTCTAGAACTATCCAATGACAAAACATTCTTTCTACCACACCAAGGTATAGAAATACTGAAATTTAAAAAAAGAAAATATGTTTATCAATGGCAAACAGGCTAACCCTGAAAGGACTGTTAGGAACTGCTTGATAATATGGTGGTTCTAAATAGTCAAAGAAAACTAGTTAAATAAGAGATGAAAGGGTTAAACTGTATTATTTCTCTGACAAAACAGGACGACATCAGAGTAATGGAGCTGCTGACTTTGCAGTTGTCATGAATATTTCAAAATACTGAGTTCAGATGGATTTTCTGAATTAAATCAAATACAATTAAAAATAGCCCCTTGCTATGTGTAGATGTATAAATGTGAGATTAATGGAAGGCCCTTCCTGACAGTGATCTGGTCTCAGGTAATACCTCAGTGTCCTTGCGGTACGCCTGGGAAAGCTTCTGCAGTTCACTTTCAGATTGGGTTGCACGCGCCTTTTCTTTCTCCCAACAGTGTAGCACATTTTGTAGTTCCACTTTTAAGGTGCCTATTAAAGCCTCGCGGTCTGCACATTTAGTGCGTAAATGACTTAACTCTTTATTGACATCAGCCAGTTTATCCTGAAGTTCCTGTTGGAGAAATGAAATGAACAGACTGCAGAAAGGCCTCCAATGGGGGGGGGGGGGGGCACAAACGTAAATACATAAGGAAAACTTTAAAGTTTTAATACGCAAGAACTACAGAAGCAAACATTTGTTTATAATGGCAAACACTGAAAGTTTTTTGCTCAATGTGTGCTCTAAGTATAGTGTCTTACCTCAGAAATGAGAAAGTTTGTTATGTTTAAACATTTACATAAACTGTTGATAGAATAACTTATTCCAAAAATCTGGTTGAAGGGAATTTTCCTTTCAACCCATACCCAAAAAATAAATAAATAAGTAAAATCTGATAGCTTAAAAACTTTAAATAATATTTAAATAACATTTGTAAATAAATGTTTTAAATTTAATGTAAGAACATTTATTTTCCAATGACATCAATATTAATAGAAATCTCAAACATGTGGCATAAAATTCTACTGAACTATTTATTCATTAACCTTAAATTCTAATGGAGTGGCCAGGACAAATATAACATGAATCAACACAATAAAATTCCAACAATATAATTTTGCAAAGATGTAGTACATAAAACCAGCACATAAAATAACCAAACTATTATTCTGGATCTTAGCCAGGTGTGGTCTCAGCCCATTACCAGATATGATGTACTAAAAACAATGGCTCCACTTTAACATGATAAAAAACTGATTCCAAATACAGATGTGCTCTGGAAAAATATGTTTAAAATGTATCAAGGCTGGACACTAAATCTTAAATCATTCTTTAAATCTATAGCATTAAATCTAGGAAATGAATTTTTCCTCTAAGCCAATTGCCAATCAAATGTTTTCAATGAAAATAATTCATATTACTTTCATAAAGAATAAAAATTAAAATTGTATCCAAACATACACTAAAAGTTAAATCTATTTTCAGGCATATATACTTAAAATATTACCTAAATAACTGTACTTTCTTTTTCATACAAAAGGAAAAGGCTAGAAATATAAATCATAATACCTTTATATTTTTAGAATGAGAGTCTATCTTCTGTCTGCTAGAATCAAGTTCATTAGACACCTTTTCCTTGGCATCACTCATGCTGTTTAGCTGATGAAAGAAAATATAAGTAACTTTTTTATATTTTTCAAGCATGAATAACTCAAAAACTAATCTTTAAATGCTTTTTATGCAGCTACTTAAATACAATTTTTTCAGCAGTAATTAAGAGTCTTAAAAATATTTCTTTTGGTTATGTAGTTTCTGTCACAAGCTCACATTGCTAAAAAGAAAAGAAAGCATTCAACCTTAAAATGTCAGTGATAGCAGTGCATTGTTACGAGATGTCTGGATAAGGACTGCATTCTTACTGTAAACTAATGTAACTTTATTCTTAAAATCCTACTGGACCAAAATGCCAGAAGCAGTGGCATCTACAAGGAGAGAAGAAAGAACAGAGCAAGAGACTGTTCTTTCTCTACATCATGAGGGTATTCACTGGTCTCCTCACTCCATATGACAACTTCAGGGTCGGTCACATGCAGCCCTACTGGGAAGGCTTGTGGCAGGTCATCAGTCGGTCCAGCACCGCTTGTGATTTATTTTCTTTGACAGTTCATTCTTCTTTCTGTCAGACTGCTCTTTTTGCTTTCTTTGCAGTCACCTCCTTGGTCTCCCCACTGCTGTCTCTGGCACTGGTTCACAACAAAGCGCATTACTAAGCCAAAGCCTGCTGAGTCGACTTTTCAACTGTGCTGAGGATCATGTGACATCCATCCTCCCAAATAACAATTCGCTGTGGGTAATATGTTCCGAGTTACCCTGCAGCTTCCAGACCTAGGCCTCAGAAGAGTTTCAGAAACTACTAACAATATAGGTTGTCTCGTCTCACTGAGAAAGACTTAGCAATACTTGCTCTTCATAGAAATTTAATTTTTTTCAATACTTTCTTGTATGCGTTTTGAACAGTTACAGAATGTATTAAGAGGAGCCACTTTTCCTTCTTTGTTCAAATTAGCAAACTAAGCTAAAATAAGCCTCTTCCTGTAATGTGAGATCTAATGGTTTTATGGCCTTTTTAGTATATGAGAAAAAGAGGTAAACAGAAGGATAAACACAAAATTCCATGCTATGTGACTTGTCTTTGGCTCAAACAATCTGTTTGCTATTTTGCTAACTAATTGTATTTAATGTAATTATTTCAGATGCTAATTTGACAAGATGTAGCTAAACTATTCAATTTTTAAAGCAGGAATTCATAAAACATTTTAATACCCAAGAAAATTATCAACCCACACATTAAACAATACAAATGAGACGATAAATAGAAGCAAGAGCTTTTACAATCAGCAATCTAAAAGCTTCCAGGCTACATCAAACAGATATTTGTTTTTGAAAACTTCTAACAACCTTTACTCCCTTTACAAAATGAAAACTAATTTCTCTCTTTTTTATTAAGACTTCCAAAGTTTGTAGAAATTTTAACCTAAAACACTGACAAAATCTCAATTTCCACTAGCTATTTTCCAATGTCATAAAACATATTAACATTCAAATATAACACATTAACTTAAATGCCTTGTAAGTTTTTTTTTAATCAAAATAAAATAAGTAAATTATGAAGACTAAGAAATGACAAGTCTGCAACTTTGTGCCTGAAGAGTTAGAAAAACTTAAGTGAGACATGACTTTAGGCTACACTTAAAGAAAGAATTGTGACAGACAATTTATTATTTCTAGTATCTGTGAAGCTGTCAATTCAACATTCCCAATCTTTTTGACCTTTGTAACAAGCAAGGGATACGTACTGGTACAGGCCGAAGGCTATATGTGTGGAGCCAAACAGTGCAAGTGTTACCTCATTAGATGCATCTTCCAGCTTGTTCTGGTAATCTGTCAAGGTACGCCTCAAAGTCTCAAGGACAACAGAGAAGCTGGGAGGTTTATCTTTGTCCTTGTGGATGCCTAAAGAAAAAAACAGGTTGAAAATATACCCTTAAAGTCACAAAGGAACAAAGCTAAGAAAACAGTAACAGAGATATTATAATTTGGTAGAGCTGAAAAGACATGAAGCATTGAGTAAGATCTTATTCTCCAAGTATACTAGTACTACTGAATAGCCAAGTATTAATTGCCTTTCCAAACAAGGGGCCAAATTAAAGTTCATAATATATCAAGCTTGATCAAACTTATGGCTACTTTCTACCTTATCAAAAATTCACATGATAGTTAGATGACAGTTATTAAGTTTTATTTGTTTGTTTTTTTATCTGTATAGACCTGTTATCCAATAATTAAATGAACAGTCTATCTTAACGTTGTTAGGAAGAGTTGCGTACACTTAACTCTGGTCCTTGTGTTTCTCATCAGTCAGGTCTTTTACAATGTAGTATTTTACCTAAATAATAACTTCTGAACCCAAGAGTACATAACTTTCTATTATACTTGGAAATATTCTTCAGTTCTCAAAATTCTCAAGTTACAGTTTGAAATAAACAATAAAATGCTATTATTTACATATGGCACATCATGTTTTAATTAAAGCCCTTAAAACTGATACTAATTGTAAAAATATGTGTATTTCCATATCATGCCCTCAAACTACTTTGATCTAAGTTGGACCATAATTGGTTGAGTTAATCAAGGTCACATGGTCAGATGCAGTTCCAAATATTAATCCAAAATAAATCAAAAATTGGGTTTTAAAAAATCCTTCAAATTCAATGTTTACTGCTCTACTCTTTAAGTGTTAAAGAACAAGTAGGAAATTTTAAAATCCTCACATCAAAGATATTTTTAATTTCCAGTTATAATTTCTCCCCATTATTTTATAATCTAAATACTTCAAAATACTAAAGGACACATTTTCAACAAAGAAATTTTTAAAAAGAAGTATCCATAATATATGTTTCACTATTCATTCATTCCATTAATTTACTGAATTTCTACTGCATGCTAACTTTTAGCATTAGGCACACAGAGGTGAACCAAACCAGGGTAGTCTCTATCCGCATAGAATTTACAGTCTACTAAGAGTCAGAGAGATCATTCATCTATTCATCAATCACTGAAACTTGTGGGGGATGTGGGAAAAAAGCGGGACTAAAGAAATAAAGGAAATACAGAAGAAAGGGGATTTTCTGTTAATGACAGACCAACTTTATGCATCTCAGTATTGGTGATACTCAATGTTTCAACCTTGGAGAAAATGTTACTAATAAGTTTATGACATTTACCAATGTATAAAATGTTACTAATAAGTTTATGACATTTACCAACATATAAACACGATCTTAAGTAAGAGCACAACTTGGATTCCCTTAAACAGAAGAATATTTAACTTAAAAACCAAAAGTAAGGTGAAAACAATACATATTCCAGCCAGAGAGAAAAAAAGTACACAGCTCTGAGCCATGATAATGGAAGAGACAGTATACTCTCTCTAATGACCATGAGTTAGAAAGACAACTCATTTAAATTTTTATTAAAGGTCTTATGAAATATATTTTTAAAATTATTCTCTTGCACAAGATTTTAAAAAATGTAATGTATAATTCTCTTCTTTTGCTACTATACAAGTAGGCAATGAATAAATCATTCAAGGACACTCAGGAAATCTGCTGGCTTTTACAATAATAGAGAAAACTTCCAATTAGAAATTCAGAAGAATAAAATCACTTTAATACATGTATTTAGGAGGTAAGGAGACAAAATGTCTTCTCCATACTGACCCATATACACATTTTTATATTCCACATGAATGTTTTTAGCCTTAAAATGTTTACATAATAAAGTTCAAGTGAAATAAATAGTATGCTCTGTGTCCCACCTGTTTTAAAAAGAAATACCAAGACAAAATTCTTGCAAAAAGAAAGGATTGGGGCCAGTGCTATGGCACAGCAGGTGAAGCTGCCACCTGCAGCACCAGCATCCCATATGGACGCTGGTTCAAATCCTGACGACTCCACTTCCAATTCAGCTGCCTGCTAGTGTGCCTGGAAAAGCAGTAGATACTGGCCCAAGTGCTTGGGCCTCTGTGAGACCCAGAAGAAGCTCCTGGCTCCTGTCTTCAGATCGGCCCAGCTCCGGCCATTTGGGAGTGAACCAGCAGATGGAAGCTCGCTCTCTCTCTCTCTCTCTCTCTCTCTGCCTTTCTCTCTCTGTAACTCTACCTTTCAAATAAAATAAACAAATCTTAATAGAAAAGGAAGAAGAAGATAGAGATTATCACTCTGGACCAAGATCCTTATTGAATGATTTAATTTAATCTAATAACATTCAAATCACTACATTATGGATTATGGTCCACAAAAACAATGGGCTATTAAAAACTCATAGAGGCAGGCATTTGGCCTACCTGTTAAGACAATGGTTAGGACACCTATACCCCACCTCAGAGTACCTGGAGTTAATTCTATGCCTCCTGATTCCTGCCTCCTATTAATGCAGACCCTGGTAGGCAGCAGTGATGGTTCAGCGGGTGGGTCTTTGCCACTGATGTGGAAAACCTGGATTGAGTTCCTAGCTCCTGACTTCAGCCCCAATCAAACCAGTAGTTATAAGTGGCCCCTCCTTTGCCTTACAAACAAATAACTTTAGGGGTGAACATTTGGCATAGCAGTTAAGAAACCACTTGGGATGCCCACATCCCATAACTAAGTGCTTAAGGTTGCAGGCCCAGCTCCATGCTTGATTCCATTTTCCTACAAATGTGCATCCTGGGAGGAAGCAGGTAATGGCTCAAGTGGATGGGTCACTGCTATCCACATGGAGATCCAGACTGAGTTCTGGGCTCCCAACCTCAGCCCAGTCCAGCTCTGACTCTTGCAGGCATTTGGGAGTGAACCAGCAGATGAGAGATTCTCATTCTCTGTGCATGTGTGTGTGCGCTTCTCTCTCGTGCTTCTGTGTGTGTGTGTGTGTGTGTGTGTGTGTGTGTGTCTCCCTCTGTTGCTTTCTATATTTCAAATAAACAAATGAATACTTTTAAAAACTACACAATATTTTAAAAACCTCACAGATTAAAAAAAAAATGGAAGGGCCAGCAGTACCACACAACAGGTTAAGCTGCTGCTTGTCATGCCAGCATCCCATGTCGGAATACTGGTTCAAGTCCCAGCAGCTTCACTCCAATCCAGCTCGCTGCTAATGTGCCTGGGAAGGCAGCACATGATTGCTCAAATAATCGGGCCCTTGCCACTCATATGAGAAACCCAGATGGAATTCTAGCCTCCTGGCTTTGCCTTAGTCCAGCCCTGGTCATTGCAGCCATTTGGGAAGAAAACCAGTGGATGGAAGATCTCTAGCTCTCTCTCGTTATTTCGTTCTCTCTCTCTCCCCTCTCCCTCTTTCTCTTTCCCTTTTTCTCTCTCTTTTCTTACTCTTCTCTCCCTCTCAACTTCTTTCCCTCTGTATTTTTAAATAAATAAATCATACAAAATAAGGAAGTAAAACAATAGCAATGGGGCAGAGATAAAAAGTAGACCAATAAGAAATGTAGAATATAGAAAATAAGAGCAAGGGCAAAAGTTAGTTATGGTGACTCCCAGTTTTCCACGTTAGATACTGCTTTGGTGTATGGTCATGCCAATTACAAAGATAGAATTTTTAGGAGATCTGGGGACTAAGATGAGTACAATTTTGAACATACTGAATTTGAGGTGCTTTTAGGACACACATAGAAAGTTATAAATGGACTTTAAGTTCGAGAATGAAGCTGAAGGTAAAGAAAAGACTTATGAGGGGTAAGGTAGAAGAAAAGGTCCCAAACCATTTATTTAAATGTTTCCCTTTAGGAAATCTCAAAAGAGCTAAATCTTTATACGTAACTCATATAAACCACTGCTTTTTTTTTTTTTTTTTTTTTTTTTTTTTTTTTTTTTTTTTGACAGGCAGAGTGGACAGTGAGAGAGAGAAACAGAGAGAAAGGTCTTCCTTTGCCATTGGTTCACCCTCCAATGGCCGCCGCGGCCAGCGAACCACGCTGATCCGATGGCAGGAGCCAGTTACTTATCCTGGTCTCCCATGGAGTGCAGGGCCCAGGGACCTGGGCCATCCTCCACTGCACTCCCTGGCCACAGCAGAGAGCTGGACTGGAAGGGGAGCAACAGGGACAGAATCCAGCGCCCCGACCGGGACTAGAACCCCATGTGCCGGCACCACAGGTGGAGGATTAGCCTATTGAGCTATGGCGGCGCCGGCCAAAACCACTGCTTTTCAAACTGGTATTACTGACTCAGTAACCTATAGATGCACATCAGAAACCATAAGTGTGAATTAATGAGGTGAGTCTATCTCTTCCACCTTCTCTACCCTCCTACCTACTTTAGTTTCCTGCAAGACCCCAAAAGGAAAGGATTGTTAAGAAATAATGAAGAAAAACTGTAAAACAGAAGGTTGAACACTTTTTTAAAGATACATATATAGGGCCGGCGCCGCGGCTCACTAGGCTAATCCTCCGCTTTGCGGCGCTGGCACACGGGGTTCCAGTCCAGGTCAGGGCGCCGGATTCTGTCCCGGTTGCCCCTCTTCCAGGTCAGCTCTCTGCTGTGGCCAGGGAGTGCAGTGGAGGATGGCCCAAGTATTTGGGCCCTGCACCCCATGGGAGACCAGGATAAGTACCTGGCTCCTGCCATCCGATCAGCGCGGTGCGCCGGCCGCAGCGCACCGGCCGCTGCGGCCATTGGAGGGTGAACCAAAGGCAAAAATGAAGACCTTTCTCTCTGTCTCTCTCACTGTCCACTCTGCCTGTCAAAAAAAAAAAAAAAGATACATATATAGAACATGAGTGGTCACATTTATTCTTAGAACAGATGGGAGAACAGAAATCCTATTGTTTAATGCCAGGTTTAGGTCACGAAGTAGAAAATAACACCCAAATGAGTTTTATTTTTGCCTAATAAAATCCAAATATTTAATATACAATACATTAATAACTAAGAAAATCCCTTTGTCATTCTAAAAGC